ATCGTTCAATCAGGCTTCAAGACTAGACCCCTACGTGATGGAGGAGGTAAGCCCTCAGCCGGGAGACGACCTCCCCCGCTCAGACCTCAGTCCAAGATCAAGCACATTGGAGACTCCATTAGCCACCTGGCAAAAGGATGTGCACAGGACGTCCAACAGTCCATCAACAGGGGTGAGAGAAAACATCCGTTCTCTAAGGAGCTTCTTCAGGAGACACGGCGGGCCATTGCCCAAGAGATTGGGCTGGACCACCAACTTGCTGAGGAGATGGAGCCAGGCCAGCCGTTCTATCTGAACCTCATCTCAGCCTTAGCGGAAGCTGGTGGAGATGCAGACGCAGCCTACCCCACAAGGGTTGCCAAGGGAGTCCCATTAGGTGTCACCACACCTACCTGGACGTCACCGGGTATATGGCCTACAAAGGAAGAACTCAAAGGAGAATCCCCTCTGTGGGAGGACCTCCTAATACCCATGGGCCGGGACAACTACCCCTCGGCCAAAGATTTCTCCTCCCAGGTCAGACAGACCTTCGTGGAAGAGGTAGACATGGGTATGGTTGAAGGCCCACTCACACAGGAGGAGGCCGCCCTCCGCTGTGGATGCACCCCAGATGAACTCTGCCCAGGGCCCCTGGCAGCAATTGATGAAGGAGATAAAATCCGCACAATTTACGACGGAAGCTGGGGCCATGCAAACTCACACATCCAACAAAACACAGTTGAGAAGACCACTGCACCCACAGTGATGGACTGTGTTCAAGCCATTCACTGGCTAACCACCAAGAAGGAGAAGACATCTGGGACGGTAGCGTCTTGCACCGACCTAGCATGGCAACCTCCACACAAACAAACCACCTGGGCGCTTTTGAAAGCAGATGTTTCAAAAGCACACCGCCGCATCAAGGTCCAATCCAACGAATGGCGCTACCAGGTAGCACAACTTGATGGCGAATGGTGGATAAACAAGGTGGGTACCTATGGTATGGCCAGCGCCCAACTTTATTGGGGCAGAATGGCGGCACTCCTCCTCAGACTATGCTACATGGTGTTTCCACACATAGACTGGGGCTTCGTGTTCGTGGATGATTTTTGCTGGCTCCTCAGAACGGACTCCGCCACTGAGGATACGGCAAAACTACTTCTCTTCTTAGCAGCCATGGGGTGCCCCCTCAGTTGGCACAAGACGGTGTTATCTGAGGTCAACACCTGGTTAGGTTTCCAGGTCAACCCATGCGGACCAGTGGTAGACTTCCCTCCAGATAAGAGGAATACACTTGAGGCACTCCTCCAGACCATCGCGGCTGGCAACACCTTCACGGTAAAGGAGATTGAGAGAGCATTGGGACGATTAAATTGGGCAACAGCAGCTTGGCCCCTCAGTCGTCCTTTTCTTCAGCCATTTTGGGCATGGAAATCCGCGACGACTACTTCAGGGAAGCCCGGCAAGCTCATACGATCCTTTGCGAAGCTTCTCCTCCAGCTGCTCCACAACCCCCAGATCCAGCCCTGCCCTTACGACCCTGCCTCCAATTGGTGGGGTGCCAGTGATGCTAGTGCACACCCGGATGATGGGGCCTACATTGGGGGGTGGATTGCAAACTGCGAGAACCCGTCAAAGGAACAGACCTGGTGGTTCCATTACAAGATACCCCTTAAAGACCATTCATGGGCTCACAAGGATGGTGATCCAACCAGACGCATTGCGACCCTCGAGATGTTTGGCACATTGATTCTCACCCACTTCCTTCTGGCTTTGGGTGGGAAATCTCTGCTCCGTACCCGTCTCAGCCTCATTTCAGACAATCAAGGCAATGTCTTTGCCCTGTTGAACCAGAAGACGAAGCATATGCCTACCTCAGCAGCCTTCCTAATGCAGCTCATCGCCATGCTCTATGTTGCTGGGGTTCAATTGGCGCCTTCACACATGAAGCGGGACTACAACAAGTGGGCGGACGAACTCACCCACCCGAACTTCACTGGTTTTCATCCTGATCGACAACTACCAGTGAGTGAAGCTTTTTCTCATTTTAAATTTCTCTGGGCTCTTCTGGATGACCAGATGAGTGTCCCCACTTTTTCAGGAAATTCAAAACGTCGTAAGACCGATTCTCACGCCACCTAAGGTCCTTCGGGAGCCAGGTGGTTGCGGCTGACTTTATGGTGTACAGTGGTGTTTTCCCACCTACAACCCCTCTTTTTCCCTTCTTACTTGCGCGAGCTTCACGCTCCGGCGGGTTGGGTGGATTTTGACGTGTGACACCACCACTGCAGTTCAGAGTTTCTGTGAAACCATTTGTGATAGATGCGATTGGCATCTGACAGAGACACAGCCGCAAAGCCAACTGCATAACAAAAGGTGCTGACTGATCGATGCTGTTGCTTTGTTCCGTTTCTGTCATTTTCAATTCTATTCGGGAACACATAGAGATATTTTCAAAGAGACAGTTTCTTTGAAAGAGATAAAGGGATTTATGGAAGGGGAGCAGCATTTTTCCAGAATGGAATCCTTTGAGCAATTATTTTAAACAAGGTTGCTGTTCCTTACAGAAAGTGTTCATGCAACTATGCGCAAAGCTTCCCTCACAAGCTTGTGAGCCATTTCATTGAAAAGCATGCAATATCTAGTGCAAAAGAAGGATCACTATGAAGTAGAACCCTTGAGAGCATGGTTATCTTTTGAAAGAAACAGATTGTGGTTGTATGTATGCAGCATGCCCTTCCATATGGGTGAGGCATCTGAACAAAACAGGCAGCATTATTTTGAAGAAGTGAACTCCGTCCTTCAAAGTGCATGTCGTGCAGAAAAGTGCGAGGGAGTCTGAACTTCATGAAAGGATGTATTGCATCTTTTCACATATTACATTTTTTCTGCAAGAATACTGCTTCTTATTTAAAGGATTACCTTGTCTTCAAAACAATTACTTTGAAGAAGTGGTGTATTTTCTTAGAAAATGGTCATGCAGAAAATGATCATGCAGATTTAGTGGGAGCGGGGGTGAGCTTCATTCAAGGATAGGCTGAATATTTCTTTGAAAGGAAGATTGCAAATATTCACAAAGGAACATTGATTTTTTTCAAGAATGTTCTTTCTTTTGTCGAAGGAAGTTTAGAAGTCAAATTATGGACAGGTGCAGCGACAAAGGAGAGTGCGCAAAGAGGTAGAAAAGTCGCGAAACAATGTGTTTTCCCCACATCTTTGTGTGGGGTTCTTGTTTTTGGTTTTGTATCCTGTCGTCCGCCCCTGCCGCCTCCTCCGCGCAACTTTGCCACACACAATTTTTCACACACGACTTTGTCACACACACACAATCTTTCACACACACACACAATCTTTCACACACACACAACTTTGTCACACACAATCTTTCAAGCACACAACTTTGTCACACACAACTTTGTCACACACACACACGCAATCTTCCACACACAACTCTTCGTCACACACAATCTTTCACACACGCAACTTTGTCACACACGCAACTTTGTCACACACGCAACTTTGTCACACACACACACGCAACTTTGTCGCACACACCCACACGCACAATCTTTCCCACGCACACACACACACAACCTTCTCACACACAATCTTTCCAAAACAGAATCTTTCACACACAACTTTGTCACACAATCTTCCACGCAACTCTTTGTCACACACAACTTTGTCACACACACACACAGTCATTCACGCGCAATCTTTCAGACACAACTTTGTCACACACAATCTTTCACACACAACTCTTTGTCGCACACAATCTTTGTCACACACACACAGCTTTGTGACATACAATCTTTCACACACAACGATGCCGCGGCACTTTGCGTGGCAGGCGTGGCACTTGGCGACATCCACGTTCCATTTGTGTGGCAGGCGTGGCACTTGGTGACATCCACGCTGGTTTTGCGTGGCAGGCGTGGCACTTATGGTACTCGGCTGGGTCTGGTAGCGCCGCTGGTCGGTGACGCCGCGGCACTTTGCGTGGCAGGCGTGGCCCTTGGCGACATCCATGTTCCATCTGCATGGCAGGTGTGGCACTGGCACGTATGGCACTGGCCAGCCACTCACCTCTTTCACACGCAACTTTGTCTCACACAACTTTGTCACACACATCTCTCTCACATACAACTTTGTCACACACACACACAGGGCTTTGTCACACACAATCTTTCACACACACACACAACTCTCTCACACAGAACTCTTTCAGACACGGCTCCCTTACATACGACTTTTTCAAATAATCGATCCTCCAATATCTCCTTGGTGTTTCCTGCCTTCTCCGTACCGCTTCAAAGCACTGTTTCTGTTTATTGGAAGAAGATGACTTGTGGGGTTATCCGGTCCTTTAGTTCCAACGTTCTGTTCGCTAAAGCGGCGGGTGTAGAACCATCTGGTCGGATGAGTGATGAGAGATCAAAAATTGCACGCCGCTGCGGCGCGAAGCACATTTCGAAGTCAAAACGCCAAAAGCACCCCAGCCCCGGAACACCACCAGAAACCGAGATGCACATTTTAGGAGGTGAGGGCCAGGGTGCTGATTTTCTGAGAGGGGATGCGCTTTGGAGCATCAAATCTTCAGGTTTTGCTAAGATGATTTTGCGTAACAGGTGCAGCACTTCGTATGACCTGGCTTCACTTTGCGCGGCAGGCGCAGTACTTTAGAGAGATGGGATGGAAAACTCGCCAAACGCATTGGTACGAAACCGTCAGACGTGCACTCAACTTTCGATTTTTGAAGGAAACTTGGCAGAATTGATTTTATTGATGATTTAAGAATTTAGTCGCGCAATATGAGGGCCCTTAACATTCCTAATGTATTTGGGACTCAATATATTCCCAGGATGTAATTGGGATTGGAGCCGAACCCGCCGAATTCTGATACAGTTCATTCTGATACAGTGTTTGAATTCTAGTTTTTCTTTCCTCTCCTTCTTTCTTTTAGGCTTTAGAACCCCGGCAATCTACTCAACCTGGTGCCCATATCACCATCAAGAACCAAGGACCGGGCACGCAGGTGTTATAAGAAAGCTGGATTCCGCTGCAAATCCAGCAGTGACGCCAGCTGGGGATGCCATCTCGCATCAAAGTGGCAGAGATGGAGCAAGGTGCCAACTTGGTCAGTGGGGTCCCCAAAAGACAAGTTAACCAACATCGGAAATAGTCAATAGTTTCAGCACCTTTTTTTTTGGGCATCCCGGTGATTTCATTTTTTTTATGATTTCCATTCGGATTCTTTTGGTTTGACTGCCCTATAGTCATCGTGCTATTGTGCATCCATTTGATAATGTTTCGTTTTGACCGGCAATGTTTTCTTTGACTCCTCACCGACTCAACTTTTTGTCCGCAAAATGCAGTGCAATAGCCTGAAACCAGCAACTCTTCAGGATATGGGATAGAATTTGGCCCTTGCCAAGGTGCACAAGCATGCCGACAAGACGACCCAGGTCACACAGAAGGCCAGGGTCCCACAGTAGAATCACCGCGCATCAGTAGCCAAAGATGCTACTTGAGCCTTGCAGAGTACATGTAAAAACGAGTCCTGATGTGGAGTTGGGGAAACAACAGAAAACATATATATATATATATGTATATGTATATGTATATATGTATATATATATAAGTATGGTTGAAATTGTTTGACTTGGGGTCATCCTTGATACGAACATGGGGATAGAGTTGGCAATCAGTTGAACACTTTGTGATGGTCATTCCTGGGTTTGTGTAGGCCCAATGAGGGTTGGATTGAGTCATAAACTGAGAATCTGCACAGAATCCATTCACCCACAAGTACAAGGACGCAACACGAACAAACTTCTGGGCAGGATCACATGATTGCAATGCATGAAATTACATATTGACTTAATGATTCATGGTGATCCATCCAATATATTTGGTTAGTTTTATTACTTTTCAGATACTCCCATAGAAGCAGGGTCCAGCATCATAAACGAAATATATATATATGGATAGAGAATGTCTATCTCTATATATATATATATAATATGTATAGTGATCCTAAAGTAGATAGAATATATATAAAATTAGAGGGTAAGGGGATTTATGTTGAATTTTGGCCCGATCAAAAACTGAAAGTAATTGAAATATACAGACCAAATTAGACACCCTCGGAGTATGCTGAAAACAGGTAGTTGGAATGCGTTTTTGCATCAAAATCAAAACTAGTCCACCTAATCACCATCAAGCAGCAGTGTACTTCAGGATCACTGAACAACATGTAGATTAAGATATAGTTGCAAACTAATAATACATATGTAAAAATATAGACATATAACATGAGACATATGAATACACAGTAACACAAAGACGTGCTTAAATTGAGCAGTACCAGGGCTTTTGTGATGAGAACAAATCCCTGACAAAGTGTCAACGTCCATCTGAACTTTACTTTCTGCATCTTTTGCATGACGAGAACAGAGACTGTTCCCGTTTTGAAAATGCAATACTGCTGAGATGGATTGCATCAAACTTTACCTCCTGCGTGTAAGGCAAACTCGCCACTGCAAAGCAAGTATTTGTCTTCGAAGCGGAGCTGTCGAAGAAACACAAAAACAAGAGGAACTGAAGATCAGCACAATTTTGTTGGAATGAATTCCCTGTGTGATAGAGGTGGTCAATACACTTAATATGTTTCATGGCGAGAGCCATGCCGCAGACATACCGGATGACATTGCAGAAGAAGCAGATGCAGCTGCACAGGACTTGCAATGCAACAAATGCAACCAATGACAGATCACACATTCGATGAACTGCAGTGATTTTTGCTGTGCCTGGCTGTTTTAGCTGTAAACTAGACCTTTTGTGTAATCCCCAACTGAATGATGCTGAATGCAGGTTCACGATAATATCTATGATTCGCCAGTGAACCGCCAAACCGGTGCTGTGAAGGACAGAGAGCATCTTCGACAGGCTCGTGCTTTAGAGGCTCGATGGCGCTGGGAGTCGTTGCTGGAGGACCTGCCGCTGCCTGCGCCTGTCAGCAGCCCAGTGCACGCGCAGCAAGGGCACAGAGAGGATTCGCAGGCTCGATGTGCCACAGCGATACACAGCGATACACAGCACTGGTGCTCTAAGTTTGTCCCGGTCTGAATTTGGAGGCCAGATTTCCTCAGCAAAAGCATCATGACTACGATAGGATTTGCCTTGAATTGTGATGCCTCTAAAACCCTTCTATATGAAGTTGAGAGCACTGCTGGTTGCCGCACAAAGCTTCCTCTGCGAGGCAGTTCAAGCACGTCGTGGTGTGATCCGTTTCCTGTACCTGGTGGCCGATTTGACGGAGGCCATGCATGCAACGCACTGAAGAACATTTAGCCCCGAATCGATTGAACAGTTTTCATCAGTTTTCCAAGTTTTGAAAATCCATTTAGGGTATTTTAGGGTATGCCAGGCAGCTTGCAGAGAGCGTCGCTGGGAGCTGCTCACACAACACGGAAGCAGATTTGCGGAAAGCTTTGCGACTGAAAACCCGTGCCTTGGCCAGGAGGAAAGGGGTCATGTGTTTTCTCAAAATTTGGATCGGGAACATACTACTATTCGTCATCATTTTCCTTTATCATTTTCCCCATTTGGGGCTATACAATCCGACACTTACATTTTGAGACAAACTCACGTGGAGGGATTTGGTTATTCTGTTGAGAATGTCAACCCTGGAAACGAAAAGCCCGGTTCATTGATTAGGGGGTTCCCTTCAAGAGTGAGAAGTTGTTCTTGAAATAGACCACCCCCCCACGAAATCTGATAGAGTCTTGAAACTACATGCTGGGTTCGCATTGCAACTCACAGGAACCGTGGGCCGGGTTCTGATGTCGATGCATTTTTTGAAAAATCTCAGGTGACACCAATCCCAAGACTTGAGGGAACACTTCTTTTGAAGTTGAGGCTCTCAGAGTTGGGGCTCCTCGTTTTGCGCAACGCAAGCTGTGAGGCAATCGATTCTTTTGCCGTGTTTCAAATTGTTGCAGTTAATCTGGCAATATGATGGAGTTTTTGTGACATTCTAACTTCAACCAAGAAGTTCGAGAGAAAGTAGAAGGAAAGTGACTGCGCCTCGATGGCTAGGCTTTGGCACCACTGGGGACAGCTTCGAGCACGCTAACAGCAAAGCTATTTGCAGCGGCGAAGGAGGTCGGACACTGAACATCATTTTTATTGGAAATATGAGGTTTAGCGAATTTTCCAGGGGGACTTCCTCACAAGCTCCCTTGGCACTTGCAACTCAGACCCAAATCCACAGCACGATGTTTTGAGGGCAAAGCCATTTGAACAGTTTGGATGCAATCTTTTATTTTTGAGTCTGTGAAGCTGATGCACAGATGAGTCTATGACTGTCACTTTGCACGGCTTTGGTGTGGCACAAGCCTTTGGGCTAGCTGGGGATGGGACCACCCCGAACCTTCATCAGTTGGTCGCCATGGGCAAGGACCAAGTCTTAGAGCATCAGAGTGTCATTTCAGCGGAAGAACTATTCTCCTGTCTCATCAAAGCGGCTTGTGGCATCTATTTCATTGACAAACTTGGTTGTGCACAGTGTGTGTGGGTGGAAATGTGGTGTGGTCCCCTAGTGAACACCAAAATATCTGGAACTTCGATGATCGCCAAAGATTGTCCCATAGGTACTGGCCATTCACCCACTTGTTACAGATGAAAATCGGCCTGTGCCTTATGTATTGATACACTTTACATATCTTATATATATATATATACATTGAGGGTCCTCCATGGCGAAGCCAAAGATAGCTCCTTTTCTGGCCCCAAAAACGGCGGGTCAGTACTGCTGTTCTGCTGCACCCCGGGTGCTGACGTTGTGGCCCCACTCCACGTGCATGCAAATGCCCAATCAAGAAGGTGCAAAAGGTCAGCGACAATCGTGTCAAACACTCCTGAAAATTCCTTGACGGTATTATGGTTCCAAGACGTGTTTGTACATGTTTGACGGACCACCATCTTGTGGCTATAGCAAGCGGTGGCCTGTGCCGGCTCCGCTGCGGCCCTGCTTTAGTCCTGCTTTGCCGAGGAAAAGGCCGCCAGTGGTGACGATTATTTTTGCTGGAAATTGCAGTAGCGGCCCCGCTGCGGCCCTGGCGCGGCCCCGTAAAACGTAGGAATTTCCACGGATCACGTCTTACATGTAAATTTATAGGAGCGGCCCCGCATACCCCGTTTGGGAATTACAATGTTATATATTAAAAGGGGATGAATTCGCCAACAAGCCTAGACACACCACAAGTCAAGCGGCTGTGTTTCTTGTGCTAGCATTGCCAACAGGCCTAGACACACCACAAGTCAAACGGATTTGCTTCTTCTGCTAGCATTGCATTCCCGGGCTGTTCCAAACGGGGTCTTTATGTGTCTTTCTGGATTCACTGCTTACTCGGGGCCCGCTTCAGATTCAGTGCGCGCACGGCGGCTTTGAAAACGAAATTTCAAAATCAAGCAAAATATGGTTTTTCTGAACGGGGCCCTCGCAGTAGCATGGCTTCATGTGTTCTGGGCACACCCTCAGTGCATCCCTTGCTTGTATAATATCTTGCCATGTTACCACCCCCGGCCCCGATTGTTGCACGGCACAAACTTGTACTGCTTAGGGCTCGCTTTGGCAGCGCGCTGTGACTCTAAAGTTTCCCCGTCTCACCTTTCCATTTGTGTTTTGGAGGCTTCTTGCCCGCACTCCCACACACACAGTATATAATATTTATTTATTTATTTATTTATTTATGTATTTATTTATTTATTTATTTATTTATTTATATATATGTATATATATATACACACACACGCACTTTATGAAAACAAGTAGAGTTGAGCTTCTGGGGACTTGACGTGCGGTGCATACCATGGAGGAACCTGAAAAACACATATACACTGCATAGAACAACACCATCAGTGGTGGGATCAATCCCTAAGGGTGCCATTTCTTTGTCAGGGCGACGCCCCTTGTTGGGACACCCCCCACGTCCAGGAGCTCGAGCCGGCAACGCCACACGATGTCAATGTAGAGACTTAGCTGTTGAATGGAATCTATCAAGGTTTGGTGTTTTTCCGCAGAATCTCAGAACATGTATCTTACTATAAATTACATATGGTTGCGTATACTGTTGTGTTTTGCTGAATCTTCGTTGGAACATTTTCAAGGAGGTCATCTTGGACGGCTTAGAGAGTGGCTTGGCTCCTTCGGATGGCCCTGCAGATGGTGTGGAGAAGATCGAACAACCCAAAATGGAGTAGGGCGAAATCGGGCGACAAAAATGCTCCACAAAGATTGTTGGAGTTTTTACAGGAGTACAATGCTTTGACAACTGTTTTGCGACAAGCATTTGGGGTTGTCTCAACGGCTAGTCTAAGAGGGAGAAAGATGGACATGCTGATCAACTATTCGTAGGATTTCGGAGTTGGACCATTTGAGACGACCTCCTCTGATGATAGGGTGTGCCGAGGCCGCCTGGAATCTATGTTTACGCGACATCACGAGAAATTGCTAAAGCAATTGATGCACCTTGGTCAAAAGCCTCGGCGTTGATTTGCTGTAGCCGGATCTCTCACAGATTCCTTGTTTCTAATCTTTTACTCGTGGATTGAAATTCCAATCCGTATCCAGCTGTGATGAACGAATATTTGTTGGCTGATTGATCGATCGATTGATCAATTGATTGTTCATTTGAATGGGTGTGAGTGCATGAATGATTTAGTGAGTTCTTGAAGGCTACAAAGCCAGGAAATTGGCACCGTAGGGGCATATTGATGCTGAGGCCAGTGTTGCAGACCATGATCAGCGTGCGGTCTGCCTGTGACCAAGGATTTATCATGATTTTTCTGGGACGGGAGGGGCGCTATGTCCGTTATGTGCTTTGAAAGGGCTTTTGTGATTATATTAATATAGTTGCAAAGTTCTTCAATCTTCATCCCAGTTGTATTCACATGTACATCCATTTATGATTGCAGTCGGACCGTTTCTACTTGGCAAGGACTCTTCATGGGTCACTCTGAAAAACCACCACTTGCAAATCAGTACTTTATCCTTCATGGGTCGTAATCTCTTGTCGCGCTGAATGGCAGGACTGGAGACTGAGAAAGTTGAACGGCCCCCTTCAACACAATCTTTCTCAGCGGTTGAAATAGTTGCTCGGCATGCAACAGAGATCGCCTGCAATGTGACACTCCATGAGTTTCCCAGAAAGCACACCAAGCAGCGTTCGGAGAAGCCAGCAACACTATTTGCAACGTATCAGCTTTCTTGGGATTTCACTGTGGAGATCTTTGGAGCAATGTGTCGAAAACGGGATGGCCACTGCCATTGAATTGGTTTATCCGAGCCATCAATATGGAAACATGCTTACAGTAGTACTTGAGAGTTTGCCTTCTCTTTGCCGCTCCGCATGCAGCGAGGGGCTGCTTGCATTAAAGCACTTTTATCCAGTTGCTTGCTACCATATGGTGTCCATAGCATTCCGATCCGAAAGTCGCAAACACTTCTTGCGATAGTCAGGCCTAGCCAATGGGTGCCGACTAATACACACACATATATATATATATACACACATACACAAATATACACAAATATACACAAATATACACAAATATACACAAATATACACAAATATACACAAATATACACAAATATACACAAATATACACACATATACACAACTATGCACAAATACACACAAATGCATGCATACCATACCATACCATAACCATAACCATAACCACAACCATAACCATAACCATTACCATACCATACCATACCTACATACATAAGGTTACGTGACGTGACGTGCCGTGACCTGACCTGACCTGACCTGACCAGACCTGACCAGACCTGACCAGACCAGACATACAGACAGACATGCATGCATGCATGCATGCATGCATGCATGCATGCATAAAAAATGATAACATACTATATATGTATATATATGTACAAGTATATATATATATATATGTATATGTATATATGTATATATATATATATGTCTATGTATATGTATATGTATATATATATATTCATAATGTAGACCCTGCCTGAGCCTTTTTCATTTGCTATGAGACTCAAGAAGAGCAGAACCAATAACCACAAACTACGCCCGTGAACAATGTGGAGTCGTGATTTGGCAAACTTGCCAATCTTAAGCAGCTGCCTACAAGGGGTACAGTAGCGGAGGCTCAAGTGTACCATGATGTTTGTGTGACTTGGACACAAACATTATTAAAGTGAAATCATTGCAAAATGCACCCGATCATGATTCTGTGCGTCTGGTAACAAGCAATCTAAACACTTCCCGCGTATTTAGGCTTTCTGGAGTCCTATTTCAAAACAACTGTCCTTTTACGCACCTTCTCCATCTGCTCCTTTTCATCCTAGAAGTCCTTCTGTTCCTTCCTACTCACCTGTTTCTTCGAGGACGATCAACGACCCTTATGTGACATGACATTTTTCTTCCATGGGTTGTCTTTTTAACCGGCAATGGGTCTTTGCAAGTCTCCAGCTGTGCAACTATTCAATTCACTTCCAGGCATTGGTTTTGGTGTCCAACAGCAATAGTCGTCTTTAAGTTTGATTATTTGTTCAATTGACTTTGCAGCACAACTTGCAAATCTCTCCGCTGTACAAATCTAGACTATCCATGACGCAACTTACAGGACACATGAAAACATAGCTGATTTGGAATTAGATGCGCTACTGTCAATGATAGTTCGCTGACTGCATGCATGAGCTGGTGGACTGAAGATCGATTCTGATTTGTGTATGTGCTCAGTGATAGAATACTGTGGCTGAACAAGCTCAGCAATGCCTGAGGAGACCAAAGGTGCCAAGCCTGGCACGTTGAAGCAGCAGCTGCAAGATCGCAACTGGTGGCTCACTGGGAAGAACACAGGGTTGTAAAATTGGAAAATGTTGTAAAGCTGAGAAGGACAGAAATAAACAGGTTGTAGTGGTGGAGGTACTGTACGTAGCTCAGAGGAACAGTGCAGGCCCTGGAGGGAAATAGCAATCAAAATCAGTGCAGTCACATGCTGCGTGACAGTTCAGATAGGAGATGCTGATGTGTTGTGACAAACGTGAAACAAGGAACAACGTAGTCTACTATCTAATAAAGATTTCAGTTCTGTTCTGCCAGTTGTACTGTGGCACGCCATGGTCAGCTGAGGGACAACTCCTTCAACCTCTCGGAGCTGGAATCTTCCATCTGGCAACACATGGGATCGGACGCAAGATGGCGAAAAACCAGACAGGAGCCTGTGCTGGGTTGACAGTTGACTCCATGCCTCGAATTTAAAATCAGAGTCCCTCAGTTGGGACTGTAGAATCTGAGTAGAGGAGCCCCGTACCAAAGATTACTTTGAGATATCGCGTCGCTTCAAATTAGCCTGGCAAGCTTAACGGAGGGTTCCTTGAAACGGTGGCGTGTTGCCTGGCATTATTTTGAACCACCGTATTTGATGTTAGTGTTCATGGCGTGGCGCCTCACCAATTTCACCACTGTACTGTACCATATTTTGCAGGAGCCACTTGTGAAAGGAGTTTGCAGGGTCCCCCGATGGTCCCCCGATTTGATACCAAGTTGAGTTCGCTTGTTTGGTTCCAGCTGGACCTGGACCGCTTGCAAGTCGAAATGCCTGAAATCTGTTGGGCTTTAGGATCAACAGTCTGACCAGTAGCATCAGTAGCTACTTTCGAGAATGGATGAGAATAGGTGAGAATGAATAAGAAGTATCTACGGTGAAGACATGTGAAGACAAAGTGAGGCAACCAAGTGTTGGCAGGCTGTCAGAGACACAATTCAAACATGTTTTTCGACAAAGCCTTGAAGAGAGAAGGTGCTCCGGAAGACATTGCAGAATACTTGATTGAGCTCCTGAGTTGAGCTGATTGCAGGAATGGCAGCCTGCTCGGCCCAATTCACCAAGTGGATCGCCACCGAATCTACCTTCATCGGCATCGGATGGAATTGTCCGAGATTGCAAGGTCTTGAACGGGAATCTGGGAATTACTTCTATTTTTAGGGGGATGGACATCCAGAAATTCGTATGGTCACCATAGCACCAGGGTTTTGACTCATAGCTCCGGCCCAAGACTTACCAGGACTAGTGGGGCTGTTTCGACTAACCCTTGGGATTTTGAACGCCGTGGTTGATCTGAAACTGGAGCCACCCCTTCTCAATGGGGACCAATGGACGGCCTTGATGGAGGTCACATGTTTTGATGGGGAACAGAAAAGACATGCCATGCGATCAGCGGTTCATGGACATCAGATGTTCTTTGAAGGATCCTTGCCAGATCATGCCACGGTCGTTTTGCTTGTCAATGCCAGGCTCACCAAACAGGATTCCCAATGGATCCTTAGGCCGCATGATGCTTCCGAAGTGGTGCCACGACCATACATGCATGTGCAAGGGTTGAAACAGGTGGTGGAGCTATGCTCTGGCATGGGTTGCATGGGTGTAGGCCTCCAAGAGGCTGGTTTTGAGATCTGCCTTCGCAATGGCTGCAACCCCAATATGCTGAAGCTTGCACAGTCCATCAGTGACTGCCCAGTGCTTCTTGGAGACCTGACCAAAGATGCCACGCTGGTTCAAGCATGTCATGCAGCACCAATGGCCAGTGTTCTGGCCTCTGGCATATCATGTCAACCATACTCAAGACTAGGCGATCAACATGCACAGCATGATCCTAGGTCAGCCACTCTGCCAGGAACATTACGTTTTGGGTTTTTGGGACGTTTCTCAGTTTTGCTCTTAGAATGTGTACAGGAGGCCAAAGATTGCAGTTGGGTCCAGACGACATTGGCCCAGTTCTCTTCACACACTGGGTACAAAATCTCACAAGGAGAACTCCACCTTCATGCAGTTTGGCCAGCCCGCAGGAGCCGATGGTGGTGTATCCTCTCCCGCCCAATGCTGGGAAGCATCCCATGGTCTCCATTTCCAGTAGTCAAACCTTTGCCACTGGTAGCCCATGTCTTGGACAGTTTCCGTACTTGCAATGAAAAATCTCATGTTAGATTTGTACGAGTTGAACAAGTTCGAGAAGGCAGGCTTTGACCGAAATGAGATCAAGTGGAATGGCCAAATGGCCACAGCATTGCATAGTTGTGGAAGCCAACTAGGACCTTGCCCATGTGGTTGCCGCCTTCATGCATTCACAGAAGAGAGCCTGACCAAGGGAGGCCTTCATGGTTTGCTAGTCAGGTTAGCAGGTTTTGCCAAGTGTGGACACACCCTGTACCCCAGTTGCCGGCATGTGCACCCTGATGAGTTGGCCCTTCTCAACGGCATGCTGCCAGGCTATGAGTGGGAGAACCCAAAGATGGCCCTCTGTGCACTTGGCCAACTTGCATCGCCACTGCAATCCGTATGGTTGGGGGCTCACATCATGCAACATGTCCACAAAGTGTTTGGAAGTGGTGATGACATCACACCAGAAACCCTGTTGTTTCAATACATGGATCGTTTGCTGACCCGCCGAGACCAGGTTTTTGGCATAGCATCCAAACCCTCCACGAAAATGTTTCAACAGATGGTGCAAGAACGTGTGTTTGACATGCCCAATCCAATCAAGTCAGCCCAACATGCAGGTGATCATGAGGTGCATACAGGTGTGAAACATGAGTCCATGCCCAGCATTCCAACTCAGGAGCTACAGTATCAGGTACCACACGACCCACCACAGCTCAGGAACCAAAACTCACCACTGACCATGCCTTGCCTTCAGCTGCACATGCACCCAGGGTTGCATCAGCCAAAGCATCCGTTGCATCCGCACCCGTTGTACAGACTGGATCAGCACAGCCCAGTATGCATCCGGCTAAGGTACCTCCGTTTTTTGCAGAGAGTGAACACCACTCAAATGACAGATGCCACGCCGAAGGTGTTGCATCATCCGAACCTGCCCAAGCTACCACATGTCAAGCCAGACCTTTGCCAAGACCGACAAGCCTGCCTGAACAAACCTCCGGAATTGTGGCCACTCCGGAAGACCATAATGCCACTGAGACACCCCACCCACCTCATGCTGGTCCAATCATGCGCTCTACCAGAGGCATGATGACCCCCGGAATTGAGGCGACTCCGGGTTACCATAATGCCCACAGTGAATCACGAGAAGACTACATCAAGTTGCAAGCACCTGACATGAGCACCATGCTGCAGCCACCCGGAACTGTGGCGACTCCGGGTAACCATAATGCCACTGAAGCACCTGCCCCACCCAATGCTGGTCCTTGCGTGTCGGCCCAAGATATGCAGACCCCCGGAATGGAGGCTACTCCGGGATACCAAAATGCCGCACTTGCCAAGCCCCAAGTGCATCCCGGAATACTGGCAACTCCGGGTGACCACAATGCCAGTGTTGCCAGTGACCAAAGCCATAGCCAGCTCTCAAGCAACGCCTTGCCTGCTGACAGTTTGCCGACAGAGCCAAAGCATCTCAACCATGGTGTCAAGAGACCCCATACCAGCACAACCTCACCAGCTGGAGGTGTTATGGGGTTTGAGTCACTCAAGAAGGCCAAAAGGGTTCACCAACCTCGACCAACGGTGGCCCCTCAAGTGGAACTTCAAAGTAAACAACATGACGACAAGATTGACTCCGAGATGGAAACAACAGAAGAAAGACCTCCTTGGTCGCATCCAGCCACTCACGGAGAAGAGCCAGGAGACAAGACCCAAGCCCTTGCAATGCCAGCCAAGTCCCAAGCACCCACCATACCCGAAGAAGATCCAACTCAGCCAGCCAACACGGTGATGCCCTGCCCACCCCATGCTGGTCCAATCATGCCCAATCCAGACGGCATGAAGACCCCCGGAATTGAGGCGACTCCGGGTTACCATAATGCCCACAGGGATCCAAATTGTGACTCAACTAAGCTGCAAGCATCAGACATACACAACATGCGGCAGTCCCCCGGAATAGTGGCGACTCCGGGTCACCAAAATGCCACTGATGCCCCCTCCCGCCATGCTGGTCCGTGCATGTCAGCCCAGAACATGCAGACCGATCCACAATAATGACCAAGGAACGGCTATCACCTTCACAGAGCCGATCCCTGATGGTTTTGATGCTCTCCATATCAATGCAGTGCCAGTTCAGGTTGACCAAATTTCCGCAACCACAGTTCACCTGCCTGACACGACCGTCCCCAGTGATGCCCAGGTCACAGTTAGCAAGCTTGAAGGTGATGTCAAAACCATCATCCAGCATTTCAACAATGAATGGGCACCAAGGTGGAACAAGCCAGCCCATGACATGCCAGGCAAGTGGGACACCATAGTAGCTTTCATGCAAGCAGCAGTGCCCAAGCGACAGGCTGATTTCCCAGCCATCACAATCGACTCTTGGAGGAAAGAAGTCAAGCGCAAAAGGAATCTCCAGAGATGATCTCATCAACATCCCAGATGTTGTAGTTTCAGACCTTTTGGACCTTATCACCTCAGTGGAAAATGGCGCACTCTGGCCAACTCAGGTTACGACAGGCATCGTAGCGTCCCTTGCCAAAGTTCCTGATGCCACCACCACAAACCAATTTCGGCCAATAACAATATTTTCCATGGTGTATAGGGTTTGGTCTAGTATCAGGTCAAAGCAATGCCTCCGATACTTGTTGCAGCTGGTTCCCCACACACTGCTGGGAAACATGCCAAAACGCAGCCCCAAACAGATGTGGTATCGGATCCAGGAGATCGTTGAGTTTTCCCATGCCATTGAAGCTGAAGCGGCAGGGGCAGTCATAGATATCACCAAGTGTTTCAATGCCCTGCCACGCATCCCGTTGTTAGAAATTGCAGAACACATAGGACTGCCGCCATGTGTCCTACAACCGTGGCGCACAGCTTTAAGCATGTTTCAGCGCCGCTTTCAGGTGCGTAGTGCGACTGGAGCAGCTTTGCCTAGCAATTGTGGTTTCCCAGAGGGATGCGGCCTTTCTACTGTCGCAATGGCAGTTTGCAACTTGACCTGTGAACTATGGATGTTTTACAAGAACCCTAGCATACGCGTTTGGAGTTTTGTTGACAACATCGAAACCTTGACAAACACAGCTGAAGAAGCCTGCGACTCCCTTGAGTTGTTGTCCCAGTTTTGTGAATTGCTTGACCTGCAGGTCGACCATGCCAAGAGCTACTGCTGGGCCAACACAGCAGAGGGCCGTAAGGTCATCCGTGACCGAGCCTGTTCCACCAAGCTTTTTGCCAGAGACTTAGGAGGCCACATGAACTACGCCAGGTTGCGTACCAATCGCACCATCACACAAAAAATAGGAGACTTGCAGCCCTTCTGGCACAGAGCCGCCAGAAGTTGCGCACCAGCCGCGCACAAACAGAGAGCAATTTTGACCGCAGCTTGGCCAAACTTGTTTTATGGCATAAGCACCGTGACAATTGGAGCGTGCCATTTTGACCGTCTCAGGACCTTGGTATCCAAAGCTTTGGGTGCAACACAAGCAGGGGTCAATCCCATGCTGTTTCTGTCATGCCTCCACAAGCCCAAACTCGACCCAGAGTACTACTGCATCTTTCAGACGGTGATGTCGTACCGGGCATGTGCCACTGCCGACCTTGCCTCACACACCATGACTGCCACAGTGCTGGGTCAAGCTACCAGCCAGGGGCCATGTGCCAGCCTCTTCCACAGTTTGCATAAGCTTTCCTGGTCATGGGAACATGATGATTTGTGGAGAGACCACAATGGTGCCCTAATTGACATAGTAGCAGCTCCCAAAGCAACGCTTGAAGACCACCTGCAACAGGCATGGCACCTTCGAGTTATGGCCATCCTTGAAGACCTACGAAAAACAATGACAGGAGCAACTTTGGTGGACGTGGACCTGACTATGGAGTGCTATTTAGCCTTGCCAAATGACCACAGGGGACTGATGAAATGTGCCCTCAATGGGGCTCAGTTTACCAATGATGCTTTGGCCCATGCCAACCTGGCACCAGACGCCACTTGCCGGTTTTGCAGCTCCCGAGACTCACCAGAGCATCGACATTGGCACTGTCCCTTTTTCCAAGACATTAGGAAGCAATACCCCATGCTGGATACCTTGGACCGCACAGAAGCAGCCTGCCTTCTTAACCATGGATGGTTGCCGGAATCCAAACACTGGGTACTGCACCAAGCTAATTTGGATGCCCTGCCAGACACCACACAAGAATGCCTTGTCACCCGAGAGTTCAACTCCTTGAGGTATCATGACCTTTTCCTTGATGGCAGCTGTATTTTTCCCAATGACCGGCGACTTCGCATTGCCTCATGGGGAATGGTCATTTGGACAGGACACAGCTTCATACCTTTGGCCACTGGCGGAGTCAGAGGCCGCCGTCAAACAAGCTTGCGAGGGGAATAACAGCAGCCATAGCAGCAGCCAAGTTCGCAGCGCGCAGCCAACTGCCATGCCGCCTATGGATAGACAACCAACAGGTCGTTGACACCATCCTTGCCCTCATGAAGGATCCATACCTTGACGTCACTAGCCATAAGGACCAGGACCTGTGGACTCAACTGCAACAACAACTACGACTCGTGCCGCAAGGCATTACCCAAGTCTTTAAAGTGCAAGCACATGCGGATGCAATTCGCCAAGACACACCTTTGGACTCATGGGCCATAGAGGGTAATGCAGCAGCCGACAGAGCCGCAGCCGAAGCAAGAAATTCCGTGCCAGCCAAGTTCTGGGTCACCTGGACCGCTTTGCATAGAGACCTTACGTACTGGCGCCGCCTGGGATGCAAACTACACAGTATGTACGTTGCCATTGCGTTGAAAGCGCAACAAGCCAAGACCATGCCAGATACACATACCTTGCCGCCGTTGGGCATGCCCGTAGTTGAGGATGTAGTGTTAGACCTGTTAGACCCTGCACTCCAGACGTTGTCGCGCCTACAGCCGGGAGATTTGCCAGCCAAATACAACATCTCAGCTCTTGCCCACGTCCTTGCGTGGACTCAGCGAATCTGTGACCAGACCAAACCAGTGGTATGGGTTAGCTACCATCAGCTTTTGTTGCATTTCCAGGCCACCACAGGCCACAATGGCCCAATGTGCAATGGACGCGCATGGACCGAGGGCCAGCCAGATCTTTACGATCACCGACAACAGGTCCAATGGTTTGCCCGATACCTGCAATATGCCTGCAAAGATGCCTGCCAACCTTTACAAACCCAACAAAGGCGACCACCGAGCCATGTCCTGTCCTTCTGGGCAGGCCATATCAGAGTTTGCATGTCGCCAGACGTCTTACTGACCATTGACACCTTCCTTCACGCTCACGCCGACAGACTTCCAGCCAGACAGGTCAAGAGGGATTTGGCCAAAGTGCCTCCTGGTTGGACAACTTAACCAGGTTTAGTTAGCTGCGAGCGTTTGTCTCCGAATTTCCGAGCAGACGTTTCAGGCGAAAGTGAGAAAGTGAGGGTTTTGACTCATACCCGTCTCAGACCTACAAATGCGCAAGAAAAAGATTATGTACGATATGGGGTGTCCAGCCAAGCATAAATCATAATCTTACCATGCTCCTGCAGCTTTTACAGTGGTGGTCAGATTGTGAGCACAGCAGCCGTGGACTCACACCGTTTCTTTTGTTGCACGTTTTATCCAAATGGATATGTCATACGTACATGTCTATTCAGACCATGACACATTTGGTAAATTCATGATATACCTACAATTACTCATGTTATCCCGCACTCCTGTTTCGAAGGTGTTGTTGCAGACTCACTCCCGACACCAGTTGTAGCATAGTATCTACGGAACTCCTATTGGTAACAGATTCATGCGGGTCTAGGTGGTTTTGTGCAATTGCTGCGTTCGGTGATGATAATTTGCTTGGTACAGTGACACGCCACTCTAACTAGTGTGCCCTGAAGCAGGCCACCCTCCCTGTATCGGGCTCACCTGAAAGGGCTCAGCACCTACTTAAAGGAATTCTTGGTTGCTGTTTTACAATGTTTCATAAGTTTTCTGCTGTAGTGCCAAGAGTAGAAGGCACGATGAATTGTGGAACGCTTGTCAGAGATTTGCTGCTGTGCTTTCAAAGTTGCGCTATTTGTGTGCACCTGTCAGGTTGTTCCCGTCTGTGTGAGTACTGTTTCCAGTACTCCTCGATTTGCATCCCCCAGCAGTTCAAGGCGCTTCTCACAGTTCTGACTTAGTTCTGTGCATTGGAATGCCCCTTGGGACCCATTGCGCAAACTTTCGATTTATGTTCACTATGCTTCGCCGAATGCTTTCAGGCAAAATCAGGTTCCAAACTGTGAGCCCCCCGTGCAAGGCCCGCAACGGCTACATCTGCTCGCGTCTTGGGATTCCAACCGCCGAACCCTGCAGGGAAGGCGGTGCTCATTTCAAAGTCCTGTCAGGGAGGATCGGATTGAATTGCCACGGGAAAATATGTACCTCTCTCTCTCTCTCTTCTCTCTCTCTCTCTTCTCTCTCTCTCTTCTCTCTCTCTCTTCTCTCTCTCTCTTCTCTCTCTCTTCTCTCTCTCTTCTCTCTCTCTTCTCTCTCTTCTCTCTCTCTTCTCTCTCTCTTCTCTCTCTCTTCTCTCTCTCTCTCTCTTCTCTCTCTCTTCTCTCTCTCTCTCTTTGTATATACGTATATACAGATATATATCTTTAAGCTTAATTCGTTAAAGATAACCAATATATCTGTACATACAGACATCATATCTTTTTTTCGAAAACCGCACATATGTATATAAATATATAAATATATATATGTATGTATATGTGCGTGTATACTTTTTTTTTTTTAAAAAATGTGTTTATACCTACACATCTAAATATATATGTATATTTTTATTCTCACATATATAAATATATCTCTTCCTGTCAAAGACATCTATTTCTATATTTGTAGCTATATAGAAAAATCTGTTAATATCTATGTATATGAATTTGAATATATATATATATATGTCTCTACCTATTTCTCTGTCTATCTATCTATCTATCTATGTATGTATCTGTTTATGTATCTATCTATCTATCTATCTATCTAACTGTCCATCTATCTATCTATCTATCTACTATCTATCTACTATCTATCTATCTATCTATCTATCTATCTATCTATCTACTATCTATCTATCTATCTATCGATCGATCGATCGATCGATCGATCGAATCTATCGAATCTATCGAATCTATCGAATCTATCGAACCTATCGAACCTATCTATAATCTATCGATCTATCGATCTATCGATCTATCGATCTATCGATCTATCGATCTATCGATCTATCTACCTATCTATCTAATCTAATCTAATCTAAGCTAATCTAAGCTAATCTAAGCTAATCTAATCTAATCTAATCTATCTATCTATCTATCTATCTATCTATCGAATCTATCGAATCTGTCTATCTAATCTATCTATCCATCGATCGATCTATCTATCTATCTATCGATCTATCTATCTATAGATACCTACCTGTCTGGCTATCTGTATATAAATTTGTCTTTCTCTCTATATACATTTGGTGTAGGTGTAATAATATATAAATATATATTTATTTTTCTATTTGTATACATCTTTATATTGTTAAATATAAATCTAGTCGAGATTCCGTTTTTTGTCCGTGACTTGTTTACTTGCAATTTTGTTCTAGATGGGTTCCAGGGCTCAACTGGGACATGCAGGTGTCATATTCACTTGCAAACATGTGCCGCACGACAGACCGCATGCTTGTAGAGACCAGGATAAAGACAATTGCATATACGTGACGCATGGGTATTTCACCCACCGGATGCTGGGATCATGATTATCAGCGGGAGTCATGTTTTTTTTTGTCCTGTCGAGGGGGCAGGCACGCAAGGTAGATACAGAACACATATAGTTACACCTCGGGGCTCGAATCCACGTATCCACCTCTTTCCCTACACATCTGATATGCGTTAATCCTCCCATCTGTCCATCAACGCTCCGCTCTACCAACCAATCTGTCTGTCTACATCGATTTCGCCTGTCTACCTATATGCCTAAGTGACCGAATGTAGTCAAAACCAAGCGGGCGTAATTTAAACGTGTATAGCCAAGAGATTTCCAACCTATCAAATCGATTTTAGCCATCTATTTGACTTATCTTCTATATCTGCTTTTTGGCTTCTAAAATAAGTGATCACCTACCCAACCTCATTCCTTGGATTTATCGAACAGCCGCGATCCTTAAAATATTTCATCATGGTCGATTAGTTGACTTGATCTAGGTCGATTAGTTGAATTGCGGCAGCCGAAGTAGTGTAAATCTTGAATATGCCTATCTACCTCTCTACCAGGTAGCCAGCTAGCTAGTCTTTTCTTGTCTTTGATCGTTTCGCACCGCATTTTTTGTTTGTGCTATTTCGTTTTCAGAAATATTATTGTGCCTGTCTATAGGGCTTATTGCATTCGATTTCTGTTACATGTAGTTTAATTTAATTTACTTCAATCGAGAAATGAAACAGTATGAAGCTGATAGCGGGTGTCTATTCATTTGTCGCAAAATCAACCTTTCCACCACAAAAGGTTTCTGGTAGAAACTTTTGGGTATCACGGAGTCCCCAATACCCTTTGTTAAAACCTGAGTTTGGTCCTGCTGGCCAGGTTCCTGTGATGCCGATGACGACCCATGGTTTTGGTTCTCGAGGGCCGCGCAGGGCGGTAGACAAAACAAAAACACTATATGACGATATGACGAAGGAAAAAGACATATTATAATAGACGATGTTTACTTTTTGTATGTAGTGGGCCATCGAATCGCTTTACTTCCTAGTCAGTTTGTCCCAACGAAATGTAAAGGGGAACTCCACTCAACCCTCCTTATTCGTGACCAGTTGAGACACGTGAAGTTCCCATGTTTGTTTCATAGAACCCGGAGGGACGACCGTGAAATTAGACTATGTAAAAACAGTCTGCTTCATGCATGCCGCATTTCAAGCAATGGCAAATCCAAGTCTGCTTCCACGCGTCAAACTGTGGGACGCACACCATCTCTGAGGACTATGTTGAAAGATTCAGATCGTGCCACGTTGGCTCAGTGCCTTGACAGAGGCATTGCTTGAGTGACACCGCATGTTATTGTTTGCAGCGCCAAATCTTCGCCGTATATTGTGGGTGGAAGTGATTGACAGATTCAATTCTTGCTCGGGAATTGTAGGTCGGGGGTCTCTTATGGGAACGTAGGTAGATCACAATTCCCTTATGTCACTTCGATGCTCATTTTCTGGGCTAGTGTGCGTTTGCAGCGTTTTATTTTCAACATATTTTGCAAAGCAATTATGGAAAAAATGAAAACTCAGATTGCAAAACGCACGATGAATATTATGCAGCATTTTGGACTTTTGGATGCAGAAACCGATTGTGTTTATTTTTTTTGGCTTCTGCTTTGTTGTGCAGTTGCGAAACATGGTAAGCAGCAGTGTTGAAGAGTTTTCCGCTGCCTTTATTGGTTGCCGAGTTTTGACTCTGACTAGCCTTGCTGGTTCTGAGTAGTTGGGCACGCCGTCCTTTGCAAAAGTTTGCGCGATATTGGCAGGGCAACTTGCATAGGCGGCAAGCGTCCGATCTTTTTTTGATGGTATGCAGATGCCAAGAAAATTAAAGGACCGGATAACCCCACAAGTCAACTTCTTCCAATGATCAGAAGCAGTGGATGAAGCGGTACGGACAAGGCACGAAATACAAAGGAGATGGTGGAGGATCGGTAATATTAGAAAGTTGTATGTGGGAGAGTCGTGTGTGAAAGAGTTGTGTGTGAGAGAGTTCTGTGTGAAAGATTGTGTGTGACAAAGTTGTATGTGAGAAAGATGTGTGTGACAAAGTTGCGTGTGACAAAGTTGTGTGTGTGTGACAAAGTTGTGTGTGACAAAGTTGTATGTTAGAGAGAGGTGTGTGTGACAAAGTTGTGTATGACAAAGTTGCGTGTGAAAGATGGTGTGTGTGTGACAAAGTGATGTGTGAGAGAGATGTGTGTGACAAAGTTGCGTGTGACAAAGTTGTATGTGAGAGAGATGTGTGTGACAAAGTTGCGTGTGACAAATTTGTCTGTGAAAGAGATGTGTGTGACAAAGTTGTCTGCGTGAAAGAGTTGAGTGTGAAAGATGTGTGTGTGTGACAAAGTTGTGTGCGTGTGTGAGTAAGTTGTGTGTGAGTAAATATAAGCTGTGTGTGTGTGTGGGTAACAAAGTTGTGCGTGTGTGCGTATATAAGTTGTGTGTGTGTGTGACAAAGTTGTGTGCAAGTAATGTGTGTGAAAGAGTTGTGTGTTAGTAAGTGCCACGCCTGCCACGCATAAGCAGCGTGGATGTGACTGGGTGCCACGCCTGCCACGCAAAAGGGAAGGTCGATGTCGCCAAGTGCCACGCCTGCAAAGTGGCGCGATGTCACGGGCGACCAAGGGGACCAAGTGCGCCACCAGATCCAACCCAGTGCCACGCCTGCCACGCAAAAGGCATGTGGATGTCGCCAAGTGCCACGCCTGTCATGCAAAGGGAAGGTCGATGTTGTCAAGTGCCACGCCTGCCACACAAAAGCAACTTGCACGTCGCCAAGTGCGACGCCTGCTTCGTCGCCAAGCGCCACGCCTGCCACGCAAAGTGCCGCGGCACCACGGGTGACCCCAGATCCAGCCCAGTGCCATAAGTGCCACACCTGTCACACAAAGGGAAGGTTGATGTCGCCAAGTGCCACGCCTGCCACGCAAAAGCAACGGGCATGTCGCCAAGTGCCATGCCTGCTACGTCGCCAAGTGCCACGCCTGCCACGCAAAGTGCCGCGGCGCCACGGGCGACCCCAGATCCAGCCCAGTGCCATAAGTGCCACGCCTGCCACGCAAAAATTGTGTGTGAAAGATTGTGTGTGAAAGATTGCGTGTGACAAAGTTGTGTGAAAAGGTGTGTGTGTGTGACAAAGTTGTGTGTGAAAGATTCTGTGTGTGACAAAGTTGAGTGAGTGTTTGTGTGTGTGTGTGTGTCCACGCCTGTCTCTAAGGTTTTCACGTTTTATTCTGCAGGTGTGGCTGAAAGCCAAAAGGACCTTGAGTCTTTGACTGGCGAAGTCAGCGAAATGGAGAAGCAAGTTCAGCTTGCAGGTGAATCTAGAAAGAAGGAAAATGACAAGTTGTCACGTTTTTATTTTGCAGGGGGCGCAAGAACCTTTGGTGCGTCTTGCGCCAACGAAGACGCTCACCATTGGTTGTGTAAACATACCTGCAGGCACGCCATGGGCACCGTCGTGTGCAGCTTGGGTGCCAACACAAACATCATTTTTTTTAACCTGGTAAGCTTAGCTCACAGACTAAGCGATGCCTTTGCTGCCGTTACAAATGGACAACAGACACTAAAGAACGAAATGTCAAACATGACTTCTCAAGTGTGTTCTCGGCGGAGAGATCTGTCACAGTCCCGTCGTGATCCTGGGATTCCAGGCCTTTTGAAAGTTCCTATTTGAAACCAGTATTTGAAACGCCATGTCTATGGCTCAAGAAAATGACATAGCCGGTGCTCCGGCTTGGAGACATTTCATGTGTTAGAACCCTGTTTTCGGACAGGCCTTCCGAAGTTTACTTCATTGCTTTGAGATGAAACCAGCACTTGAAACCTGCATTTGAATTTCGAACTTGCTGAAACATGATCCTTGGATCATATGAAACGAGCAAGTTCCTGGATGTGTCTCTGTGTGCCTTTTTGGCTCAAGCAAAAGTTTGCTCTGCAGTTTCCTGGCTTCGTGCCTTCGTGTGTGTGTCCACGCCTGTCTCTAAGGTTTTCACGTTTTATTCTGCAGGTGTGGCTGAAAGCCAAAAGGACCTTGAGTCTTTGACTGGCGAAGTCAGCGAAATGGAGAAGCAAGTTCAGCTTGCAGGTGAATCTAGAAAGAAGGAAAATGACAAGTTTTCACGTTTTTATTTTGCAGGGGGCGCAAGAACCTTTGGTGCGTCTTGCGCCAACGAAGACGCTCACCATTGGTTGTGTAAACGTACCTGCAGGCACGCCATGGGCACCGTCGTGTGCAGCTTGGGTGCCAACACAAACATCATTTTTTTAAACCCGGTAAGCTTAGCCCACAGACTAAGCGATGCCTTTGCTGCCATTACAAATGGACAACAGACACTAAAGAACGAAATGTCAAACATGACTTCTCAAGTGTGTGTGTGTGTACACTGCTATTCACATGCAGAAAACTACAACTGGACATTTGATGACTATGCACGTTATGTTTTCCGAATTCATGCGCCAAAGACTATGCACGTTATGTTTTCCGAATTCATGCGCCAAAGACTACTTAACAGCAGGGGGCTGCAGGGAATGTCATAGTTCTGCAGCCAACGAAGACGGCTATGACATTCTGTGATATCGATCCGGGACGCTGGATCGACGTACCTGCCTAATCATGTCTTTCCATTTCCGCGATGGGATGTGGCTAACCCAAGAACCACCTTGCCGATTAATGATTTGGACCTGGTTTCACCTGTTTATCAAGGATGATGGACTCAGGAATTCTACCAGGCATGTACAACCACATCGTCATTGCAGTTCACTTCCAAAAATCAACAGTGTGCATTAGTCATGTGTCCTATACAGACCATGACCTCATCATCCCTAATGGGGAAGAACAATCTTGGCATAGTGTGCCGAATCCGCCCTCTACGGAGGCAGAAGTTGAGCGAGTAGCCATAGGGGCTGCTAGAAGTGATGGCAATAGCCGAAGGGGGGTCAAGGACAATTGAAGGGTGGCATAAGCCGAAGGAGTGCCCAACGGGCGAATGGTGCCCATAGGGCGAAGGTGGCCATGTGCCGAAGGATTTTATTGGCCGGGAACCCTACTTCTTACTGTCATTTTATGAGTTTTCACCTTCTCTTTCAAATCAATTTACAATTGTGAGGACAAGAGATCAATTTGAAGAGATCTAGAATATAGGAAGACCTATCACAAAAGTGTGCGGACACACATAGTTTGTGATGCTCGAACCAAGCAGAATGTCAAACACGGTAGGGACCTTATCGCTGCAGATGTGTGTACGATCTTGATTCATGTTTTCGAGGTTTTCTACTGAGCGAACACTTCAAACCAATCCAATAATTGAGACCATAGTCTTGTTATTCAAGAAAAATCGTCGGCCGCGCGCATGTTCCAATGGCCAGTGGGCTAAGCCAGAATCCCACACTGACCACTTTCGATCATGCGCAAGTTGACACATGATTTTGATGCGTTTTCAATCTGGGTAATGCATTCCCTTGGCTCATAGCAAGCTCTTTGACATGTTAAGTCAATTTGTTGCTTTTCATTTCTACACGTCATTCGTCATAACACACCATACGCTAAATGTACTGACAATTCTTGAACAACTCATTTCTTCTTTCGCGTTCAGCAGACTTTTTCGCGATATGGAACTCCATGCAAGAAGCAAAGCTGCCAATGGACCGCCGTTGAGTGCTACCGTTGCGTATCTTCCGTCACAACCGATGGTATCACTGTCTTCACCGTGTGCAGCAGCTCCATTTGTACCACGGGCGACACCTGCATTTTCACCATTTCCCGGACATGCACCAGTTCTACAGACTCCGCCCGGTCCCCTTCCTTCACCTCCCCCCTCACATCCTTCACGTACAGTTGAACATGGACCTCATCAAGCAACCCCCAAGATACAACCTATCGCGGAGTCCTCAGCAAAATCAGGAGTATCACCGGTTCCCATCACGTTGCCAGCTGAACATGCGGAAAGACGTACGCCTACTTCACCATCCGGATTATCGTTGACTGTCAAAGGCATTGTAGGAGAATATAGATTGGAAGCTCAGAGTATTGATCATGCAGGACCCATAGTGTATCTCATGGATCGCATCATGACAGTGGAATCCAATTTGGCACAACAACGTCTTCAAGATCAACAGTTTCAGAATCAACAACTACAATGGCAGATGTGGTCGTCGATGCCTCAGATGTGCCACATGTTGGCTTCAGGTAGTGATCAACCACTTCCCTGTGATGCCATGCAAACAGTTAGTTCTGTCAATGAACCTATCGTGTCAAATCAGAACA